GGGCGGGCGCCGGCTCGGGTCGGCACCGGCTCTTCCCTCCGCTCGCTGGGTTGGGAGGAGCGTGGGCAGCGCTGAAGCTGGGTCTCTTCTTTCAGGACGATGAGCTGAAGTACAGCCTCAGGCGTCTGGTAGAAGGACTGGGAGCCACCCGGGAGGCCGCCCGCCCTGGCTTCTGCTTGGCCTTGGCGCAGGTCAGTACTTCCATGAGCAGAGCGCCCTGCGGCCCGTCGCCAGCCCCAGCAGTGCCTGGGGTCCCACTCTGCAGTTCCCCGGGAGGCTGGGAGGGCTCCCGCCCGCCAGCTCCTCCATGCCGATGGCAGAGAAGGCTCCTGCCGCGAGCGTAGAAAAACTGCGCTTTTAAACAATGCTAGTCTGTCTTGGAAACAGTACAGTCAGAAAGGTATAAGCTGTACCACTATCCTACTCACGCTACAGAATTCTGTCCTGCTTTAAGAACCATCCTTAACTTGCAAAATTTCTCCAGATTTTCAAATATGCTGCATTTAGAATTATTGGGACTTCTTAAAATTGAATTGTGTCTGCTGTCGGGCTGTTTTTGTGGGGGATCTGAAAAGGCAACCCGTTAAACATGCACCTCAAAGGGTTTTTCTCCCCATGCTGTTTGAGTCTGTAATATAGATGGGGTCTTGGTTTGTCCCCATAAAGAAAGATGGTGACAAACCTTTTAGCAGGACCAGTTGTGATAGGACAAAGGGTAATGGTTTGAAACTAAAAGAGGGCAGATTTAGACTAGATCTAAGGAAGAAATTTTTCACAATGAGGGTGGTGAAACTCTGGCCCAGGTTGCCCAGAGAGGTGGTCGATGCCCATCCGTGGAAACATTGCAGTTCAGGTTGGATGGGGCTCTGAGCAACCTGCTGTAGTTGAAGATGTCCCTGCTCACTGCAGGGGGTTGGACGAGATGGCCTTGAAAGGTCCCTTCCAACCCAAACTGTTCCAGGACTCTGTAGCAAAGAGTGCCAGCAGTTGGGATCGCCAGTGGGATCTGACCTCACCTCACCTAAGAAGCTGCTAATACAGAAGAGCCTGTGTTCTTCCCACTTAGATCAGGGCCTTGCCCATGCTGAAAAGTTTCATTGCTTCTGTTACAGGGTCATGCAGTTGCAGCAAAATGTTCTCATTATTAATCCTGCTAAGTCATGTACAGGGGAAAAAAAAAAGGAGGTATCAGCAGATATATTTATGTCTACACTAGTTCTTATTCTGACACATCTACTGATCTAGTTGTCTCTATTCTGGCCTAATAAAGCAGCACATCTGCTGCTATGCTGAACAACTGTTCAGCTCTAGTTTGGCTGAACTTGATAAAACTTCATAACATGGAAGAACTGCAAACTGAGCTATCCCATCCATCCCCTCAGGTTTTACAGGCTTTTGAGGAAATTCCAATGTGCAGTGTCCTGGAACAGATAAAAGAAAAACACAATCTGGAAAAAGTGAAAAAGGTGAGTCGGCTCACAGCAGCGTTGGCCAACAGGTAGTTTAAATTAACTTCTCTATTCTTGGAATGTTTGGTGCCTTGGTACTATAATTTTGGGGTTCTTGCTAAGGCAAATGACTGTAATAAAATGACGGAAATATTTGTAAAAACTGGAGGTTGATGGCGTTGTCATCTGGCCCTGTTTTAGCTGAGATTCATCCATGTGACAGAAAGATAATCTAGGACAGTTCTTAAACATAGTGCAGGGGGTTGCTTTTCAGTATGTTATCTTCATATGGCAGGGTGTTCAAGGCTAGATTTTCCAGGCATCTTATTCTGCTGATCAGAGCTGTAGCTGAATGTGAAATCTAAGTGAAGTGGATTTTTAGTGGATTTTTAACTCTCCCTTTATTTTTTTTTTTTCTTTCAGAAACTTGTGAGAAATGCTGCTTTTGGAAACTTTTTTGGAGTTATGGCTCTGTTTCAATCTGGCCGGCTTGTTAAGGTAACATTACCATTGTTAATGTTGTTAGTACTGGTTTTAGGGCTGTCGGAAGTGGAGAGAGGATCTGGAGGGAAAGGCTGGGTCATTGGCTAGTTGATGAGATGGGACTTGAAGCATCAAGTTCAGTTCATTTCTTTTGCATTGTCTATAGACTTCTTGTGCTAATGTCTGTTCCTGACTAGAATATAGAAACTGTCAGATAGTACAGGAGGCTCCTACCTCTTCTGGAAGCATCTGTTGTTATACACAGCCAGAAAACACCATTGTGGGAAAAGTGGAGTGGCCTATCGGGAAGGTGTAGGTTTCTTATTACAAACAGGCGTAAGGGTCTCAAGAGTGGGTTATTACCTGAGCCTTCAGCTTAATCTTTGATAGATGTCCTCTGTTTTTGGCTTATCTTTCCTTTCTAGGACCAGAAAGCTCTGCTGGAGAGCATCCAGCTTCTCCAGCAGCTGGCACATCATCAAGCACACCTCAGAGATCTCCCTCGCAAAACTCTTATTGATATCATGTCTGAGGTATAGCCGCAGCACGTGGTGGGTGGGAGGAGGGAAGACTTTGCTTCGGGGACTGCTTTTTCCGTGGTTTGTTCGTATTTGAAAGTTAAAGGGCGAGTGTGGAAGAGTGGGTTTAATCTGTGGGAGCTGTTTCCTATACTGTTGGTGGGAAGATGCTCTGGTTTAGCTTCATGGACAAACCTGTAGTCTGTTTTTTCCCAGTTGACTTGCTTGGATGGTACATTAGACCCTGTGCTGTTCTGAAGAGAAGTATGTGGAAAACTCTGGGCAGCAAACCTTACTTTTTATGCACCAAGCCTGGGCCTAAGGTTGAATTTTGGGCTGTTGGGAGTGAAAGGATGTAGGGACATGGAGTAAAGGAATTCCGAGTATGACGTAAAAGAAGAGTCTGTCTATTTCCTTCTCTTCTGTGGATATTGTTTGTAGATGTAAAGTCTTAACAGTGTTAAATCAAAATTAAATAATGTTTTGTATGGAAGTGTTCAGTGTCATATAGTCTTGACATTAGGTTTAAATGTATTTTGAATCCAATCTGTAAAAAATACAAATTAAAGCAGGTTTGTGTTTTTCTTATTTTATGATGAAAATGTTGGATCCAGTTTTCTCTAAAACCATTAAACAGAGTTGTTTACCAGCAAATCCTATTGAAACAAGTAACTTAGTTTTGGGAGATATAATTAAAAGCTAATAGAAGAGTGTTTCCTCCTCCCTGGATTGCATGGCTGTACAGACAGGAGCATTCAGATGGCAAGAGAACAATTGCAGCTGGAGTCAGTTGACCAGAATTGCCATCTGATGACAATGTATTGTCCTACTCCACATGGTTAAGCACCTGGGGACTGTATGGCAGTACCGGACATATCCATTATTTATTTTTGGTTGTGTCACCATAAGGACTATTTCTGAAGTTTCCATAACACTGCAAACTTTTAGTAAAATGCCCTACAATGCAGATATTTGAACATATTCCACAGCAAGTTAGTAAAATGCCCTCAGGTGTTTCTCACATTCTTTCACCTTCATTCCTGTCTAGGTTCCTGAAACTGTGTTTGAGGAGATCCTCTTTGGCATCTTGCAAAGTGACCTTGCTTCAGCCTTCACATCTCCAGAGAACCTGCACCTTTTGCTTGTGGCCATACAGAAATTCCCTGGTGTTCTGAAACCTAAAAATCTGAAGAAGCTCTTTGGCTCACCTACGGTTGTAAATGAGGAAAATATTCCCAGGTCAGCTCTTAAATAAGGAGCATTATGTGCAACTTTCGGTTTCTTGGCTAGCAGCGGGAGAAATGTGGCTTTCATTCTGATGCCTGCCTGTGTTTGCCACTGCAGGTGCTATTATGGGTTAGGTGCTAACTGTTATGCAGGTTCCTAAATTATAGCTCTGTCATTTCTCCCAAGAGGCACAGTCTGCCATGCTCAGGAAATGTT